TACAGGCACTTAAACACTTAGTAATGGACATTATCCCTTTTGACTATTGTAAATCTAAGAAGTTAAGAATTCAAGAAATAGAAGTTTATGTTTATATACGTAAGGGAGAGGACCAGATGGGGGTAATTCCTTAAAACTTAAAAAGAAACATAATTAATTGATAATAATTAGGAAAAGAGTAAATGAATTATTGCAATAATATTTCCCTAAATAAAGAGGTAAAACTACGATAGTGACGGTTTTATATTTAAGTTAATTGTTGTCATAAATCATTTAAGAATATATGTAATTATATTGTAGAAATAATATCTACAAATTATATAGCTTGTTATTAATCTATATCTCTATATCTCTATAGATATATATATATATAAATGTGTTGAATTGACCCACACTAAAACTATATAGCTTGTTATTAATCTATATATCTCTATATATATATATATAAATATATATATTTGACCCACACTAAAACTAGCAAAAGTTTTAATTTTTTCTAGAGAAATTATTTAAAAAAATATATATTTAGCAATTTACCACCTAGAGCTGCTTAGCTATATATTTCTACCTATATATACAATATACATAGCTACCTAGTACCTAAATATATACATATGTTCCTAGCTTCCTAGCTAACTACCTATTTAGATCCTGTCCTACCTAATTACCTATTTACCAGATTTACCAGCTAGCTATCATTTTTTTAACCTTCATTGATAAATAAAAGTTTTAAATTTTAATTGAGGCAAAAATTGAATAAAAGATAGATATCTTTAACAGAAAAAACTCTTTTTGAATATTTTTTTAAGAACAATGTAAGTTATACCCAGGAAGGGACTTTGGAAAACAGTTTAGTTTGGAAAATGTACCTTTGGAAAAATCAGGAAAAATGAGGCTCAAACTTTTCAAAGGAGCTAACAGGGATTAAGAGATTAAAAATTTCTTTTTACATGCTTAACCCTATCTGGACTGGGATATTTTTGTATAATATAGGCTCCATCCCCCCCTTTCCCTTTGAGGTGAGATAGGGAATGGCGCAAGGGAGGAGATCAAAAAAGTTCAAAAAGTACGTAAGAAAAATAATTATTTTGAGTTTTGACAAACATTAACATGTGACATATTTCAAGGGCTTTTTAGATATATAAATTTTAGCCATGTAGCTTAATAAATAAAAAAGTTATTAAGCATTTAAAACAGCGACCCGCCGTTTGACTGTTGTCCACCCTACCCTATGCATAAAAAAATCAAAAATTTTTAGCAAATTTTGTTCACAACTATTATTTTTAAAAAGTAAAGAAGTTTTTAAGCTTTTTAATGTAAGTCGTTTTTAAGTTATTCAGAAAAAACACAGGGGGGCCAGCCGTGATAGGGTTAATATTTCATTTTCATAATTTAAGAATAGATAATGATGACATGAAAAGCTAAAATTTTTCTTCCTATAAAACTTTCTAGAAATATCTAGAAACTAAACTCTATCTTGTATCTCTGGGAAACTCTCCATAGTGACGCTTGATTTTAGAATCTAGAAACTAAAACGCTAACTTTTGATGTCTAACAACTTTCTAGAACGAATCTAGAAACTAATCTTTATCTTGTATCTCTATGAAACTTTCTAGAAAGTATCTAGAAACTAAAACTCTTACTTGTATCTCTATAAAACTCTCCATTAATAGCTTGATTTTACAATCTAGAAACTAAAACTCTGACTTTTACCTCTATAAAGCTCTCTATTGAGAAGCTTGATTCTAGAATCTAGAAACTAAAACTCTGACTTGTATCTCTATGAAGCTCTCTATTGAGAAGCTTGATTTTACAATCTAGAAACTGAAACTCTGACTTTTATCTCTATAAAACTCTCCATTAAATAGCTTGATTCTAGAATCTAGAAACTAAAACTCGAGATTGAATCTCCATAAAGCTCTCCATTGAAAGACTTGATTCTAGAATCTAGAAACTAAAACTCTAACTTGCATCTCTATAAAACTCTCTATTAATCTAGAAACTAAAATGCGTAACGTGGAATTTTAACTATTTATGGTATCCATAAAGTTTTATGTGTGAATACTACTTCTAGACACTACACAACTTTATATTCAACATCACCACTAAACATGGAGAACATTTTGAATGACATTTATTTGATTAAAAGTTTTTGACAAGCTTTTTATTCCCCACAAGAGTCCACATAGCTCTCCAAATTGATATCTATGATTAAAAAGAAAATTAAATCGAATTAAAATAATATATTTAGAAGTTGAGTTAAAATATCGCGAAATTAGCGTTTTTTTACAAAGCACTTTGCATGGTTCATTGTTTTAGTTTAAAAAATATTGAAATGAAGCGCATGACAAATATTTTTTTGTACATAAAAACAAATCCGGGAAACAATTTTGTTTTCACAAATCTAGTTTATTTGATTGGATCATATCGGTAAAAATCTCATTTTAAATTTTCTAAAAAAACAATTTTTTTTATAAAATGAATCCAATTCATAATATGGAGGATTTGTAAACAGCAAATACATTTTTGAGTTTTATTTCACGGATTTTTGTATAAATCTACTATTTCTTTTGCTTTTATTTACTACTTTCAATATTTTTTAACATACAACGTAAAACCTACTAAATATATATTTTTTACGCACTTTGTACTAAATCTTGGGATTCTTAAAATGTGGCCTTTTTATTTCTGAATTTTTAGACTATGTCTATTTATTAATTTAAGACCCTGATTAAATTGATAAAAGATAGCTGACTTGAGCTCTGGGGCCTACACAGGAATTTCCCCAAGGGGGGGAGGGGGACTTTGTACTCGTTGGGGCCTGAAAACCCCTGGAAACCATAGATTTTACGGATCCATGAGGCCAGAGCCCTCTAAGCCCCCCACCTCCTGTGTACGCCTCTGCTAGAGCTAGGTATAAAAAGGTTTCAAGACATATTACCTGTGTTGTGTATAGTTCCATATTAGGAGCCACGAGATACTTATCAAATAAACTCTGGCAGTCCCGGACTCCCTGAAAAAAAAATATATAATTAGAGGTTGCGTGATTTTTATAAAATCTATTTCGAGGTTGCGTGATTTAAACAAATTTATTTACGAGGTGTTGTGGATATTAACCATGACTTTTGGCCTCACAAAAGCCTCTACAAAAAACTAAAACGTTCGACAACTTTCAAATTTGTAAATTATCAATATATTCTTTAAAATGTAACAATAATTTAAATTTTTCCCTTACTTTTGTTAAAAAAACTAAAGTATTTATATTATATTATTATATTTCATAAATAAATAATTTTTTACTTTTACTTACTTTTTTTACTTTTTATACAGGGTGTCCCAATAAACATGGGAATTGAGAGACGATATGAATATCGTCTTTGATTTCCGAAAATTGATAAATGATATAAAGTGCATCAAATAGAGATTAAAAGTCAGATGAGCTTTCCAAAATGTGGTCTACATTCTTTGTATCTTTAAAATTGACTGAGATATTAAACATTTGAACAGTTTTGATGATTTTTAAGAAACTGGAATCTGGACAAATTTCATAATATCTCCGTCAATTTTGAAGGTACAAAAATTGTAGACCACATTTTGGAAATCCCGAAACTAGTAGTTTTCTGTGTTGCATGTTTAAACTGTGCAGACACTAGAAAATTATGTGAACGAAATAATCCCGCATGGGACGTAGACGATATATATTTAATTGCCATGTTTATTGGGACACCCTGTAACTTATCTTCTTGCACAGTCTAATAAAAGATTTTCGTCCATTCAATTTTTAGCAAAAACATTTTTCGTTTAAAGTATAAATTTTATCTAGATTTTGGACAATATTTTTGATAGAGTTTAAATAATCAAGTTTTTTTCCAATACAGACAGAAAAAACACAATTTTGTTTGATTTTTAGTAAAACAAATTAAAATTTTTAGTATTTCAACTTAAAAAACAAGATTACGTAACGTTATATTATGTAATGTAATATAAGAACGTTTTAATATTAAAAAAAAAACACATCTTCTTTACATTTTTGAAGAGAAAAAGGTTTAAAGGGTACCATGCCCTTCTTTAGCTAAAAGTTCACTAGAAATCACAATAACTGTTCCTTTAAGATATTCTACCTGAATTCCCAGTTCCCAGTTCCCATTTTCAGAGAGAAGTTTTTCAGCTTCAAGACTCAACTTTTGGATTTCCTCCAAAGGAACATTTTCAACCTAGAGACATGGTCAAAGGGTCAAAGGTCAAAAATCAAAGGTGAAGGGTCAAGAGTCAATGGTAAAAGATCAAAGGTCGAATGTTAAAGGTCAAAGTTCGGAGGTAAAAATTAAGGGATACCGGTCAAAGGTTAAGGGTCAGATGTCAAAGGTGAAGGGTCCAAGGTCCAGGGTCAAGGATCAAGGGTCAAATGTCGAAGGTTAACGTTCAGAGATAAAAAATTAAAGGTCCTAAAGGGTCAACTTTCAAGTTTTAAGCTCCAAGGTTTTAAAGTTCAAGGGGCAAAGGTCAAAAGGTTAAGGATTAAGATTCAAGGGCCAAAGGTCAGGGGCCAGCGATCAAGGTTTAATGGGTCTGTGATCAAGGAACAAGGGTCAAGGGTAAAGTATCAAGTGCTGTGGCCCAAGGACTGTAATAAATATCGGGTAGTACGATATTCTGTAAATTTGCAGTACGTTGTACTTTATTAATGATCGATGTTTGTACGTAAAAAAACCCATTTATTTATATGAACTGCGTTGTAAATGAATACGTAGCATATGGTAAGCTTAAACATGTGATATATATATATTACGTATATCTTAACTGTAATATGTAACATGATTTGCTTTATCATGTGATATAGATAGGAATTGTAATTTCGTCTATTAAATACAAATTATTTAGAATCATAACTCTGCTTTGATTACAGTGTAGAGTAATTGGTCCGTTGAAACATACGAATTGAGATCTTGCCTTGAGTATTGGCATTGATCAATAGATCGCTATTGTCCAGTTGACATAGCAAACGAGATCGCGCCCAGTGTAGTGGTGTTGATAGTTCACGAGATTGTAGCCATGTGGATCGTGTCCTGTTTGAGACATTGATCAATTGATTGCTAGTGTCCATATTGACACCGATAGCTAACAAGATCGCGCCCAGTGCTAGTGGCGTTGATAGTTCACGGTGTTGTAGCCGTGCGGATCGTGTCCTGTTTGATATTCATAGCAGACGGATTGTACCTGGACTGATACATATAGGGACGAACTTCTAAGAGTACGGCAATCACTACAGGATCAATGATTGGAGGTCAAAGGTCGAAGTTCAGAGGTAAAAAGCTACAGGTCAAAGGCGAAGGGTCAGGGGTGTAATTTAACCTTAGATTCGTCTCCACAAACAAGGCAAGTGAGGACCGAGGCTACTTTTGTTCCCTTCGTCCTCTCAAGAACCTAAACAAGAGATAACAGGATCATTTTACATTGAAGAAAATTACACATAGGATAAAAATCTGACATAATTTTTCTAATAAAAGAGCTATTGGGAGGGGAAAAAAGTATTTTAACCGAATAAAGTATAAAATCAAAACTGAAAGAGCTACAAGGTCACAAAGTCTTAATAATAATGAAATGCAGTACGGAGAGCTATTAAAAACTTAATTTTCTAATAAAAGCTATTATAATATCAAATAACGTTGATATTTGTTTTAAAAATTAAAAAAGTACACATCTTTCCGCGGGTCTCTGTAACATTAGTTAGGTTTGGTGTAAAATAGTGTCATTTTTTACTTTTAATTTATAGACACATTTCACACTTTTCTTAATTATAGACAGTGCTGGTTTCAAGATTAGATCTGATTAAACCAAAGCAGGTGCTTTGAGCACATGGTGACAAGTCATCAGCTTTGGCTTTTAGGCAGTAAGAGTTGGGAACTTGGGAAATCGAGTTTGAATTTGATTTTTTTTTTTTACAAAATTGTTGATATTTTATATGAAAACGTTAAATTAAACTTGTTAAAATTGTAAACCCTTTATTTTTTGTCATGTCTATCTCATTTTTACAACTGTGACCTTGAAACCCCTTCTCTCCTAAAAAATATACTTTTACGACAAAGTTTTTGCAGTTTTATTCCCAACACATTAACTGCTGAGTTCTGCACTATTCACTCAATAAGAGCAGTGTTAAAAAAAGTATCTCTGGTTCTAAAATAAAATTACGCCTATGAGTATTAAACATCTTTTGATCTTTATGCTTTGACAAAAACCAAATATTATTTATAAAGCTTTTTTACTTTTTCCGTTTTGAATATAAAATCTTTAAGATTTGATTTTATCTCTGAAATGTTTGAATTATGTATTCTTACATTTTGTATGGTACCACCCACCTGTTAGTGGGAGAGGGGGGGGGGTACGCTGCTATGTACCCTTTATATTTTTCCAAACCTTGAAAATTTTAAAAAGACCTCTGAGCCACGCAAAATAATCTCTAAGCCACACATTTCTGCCTCCAAGCTGCAAAATTTAAGAATGACCCCTAAGCCCCGCGAAAATCTTTAAGCGGGGCATGTCTTCAAGTTACAGACTTTTTAGAATGACCTTTGAGCCATTTGTTTCTACGTCTAAGCCCAGCTAAGCACTCATAGTTCTAACCAAGCTCAAAATCTTTGCAGAGTAAACATTGTCCTCAGGAAAAAAAGAAGCTTAGACCCCAGGCTCGGAGGTCATTCTGCGGCTTGGAGTGTGAAATGTGGGTCTCAGGACAGCTGAGCACTCCCTCCCTCGCTTTAAACTGGGTAAATGCACTGCAGGTGTCAGCCTGTCATTCAGAGGGTACTATCAATAGAGAAGTTCAAGTATAGTTAGATCGTCAACATATTTAAATCTGCAGTCAGTATTAACACAATCTGCATTATCATTGCATTGAACTAGGTACTCCAGTCTGTAAGGGAGTTCAAAGTGTACAAATCATGTAAATGTTCACAAATTATATGCAGTAGAGTACATTAATACAGTATGTTCCCTAGACTATCCATTCTATTCTCTTTGACGAAACCTGAGCATCTCAGGTGTTGAACGATTCATATAAGACATCTATCTGATGATTCTGTCTCGAGAAATTGATATAAAACAGTGTCAAATTTATACGAAAATTCATATTTATGCAATTTTGTATAAAACAGATCATATTCCACAAACACGAAACCAATCTGAAAACGATGATATCCCACAGAAACCTGAGAATCTCAGGTTTGCTTCTATTATAACTATTTAATTGTTATTTTTAATTTTTAATAGATATAATTGATGACATTATTACATATAGTCCGTATTATATAACCAGAACTTCTGCCAATGGCAGTGCAGTATACTGGTCACGTGATTGCCATCCAATAATCAACAAACAAACAAATTAATCAATTACTCAACTCAATTGATCAATGCTTTGATTAGTATTCATACCTTGACAGTAGGCCAGTTTTCTACACAAGCTATACATCGACAATCAAATTTATAATGCTTCTTTAAATCCCCTCGCCTAAAAAATGAATTGTCAGAAAATGAGAAAAATAAAAATGATAAAATAAGAAGAAAAAATTAGTCTGCCAGTTGAAAATATTTTTTTCTTGGAAAAGAATTGAGTAAACAATGATGATTTTTCAAAATTCCATAAAAAAATTGAAGCGTTTTATTACATTTTATGAGGAATTGAAGCATCATATTTTTGGAACGTAAAAAATACTGATCGAATATGCATTATGGCCTTTTTTGTCAACAACATTTTTTAAAATTAGATTTTTCATTATATTTTCATTTTCTTTGTAATTATTCAAGGAATATGCTGATTTATAAAAATGACAAATTTCAAAAGTTTTTTTTGTGGTCAGCCATAGAAATTATGTTCGTTGTACAAAAAGTATCGCAAATGCTTCCTCTTGAACCTAAAACTGAAAATGAACCCTAATTTTACATTAATACAGAGACTAAAAAGTTTTAAAAAGTTTGAAACTTAAGTTTGTAAAAGTTGCCGAACCAGCTCCGGACTGAATATAGTAATTAAATAGAATTATAGGGGGAGCATCATGGATGGATGCACATACATTTAGAAGGGGAGGATGGGGTGAAACTTTGTCTGAATAATTTGGATATTTACTTTAAAACAAGAAAACTTTTATGTAAATTAAAAAAATTGTAAAAGTATTTTAAATTTTAAATTTTAAATGTTTTCGTTAGTTATAATGCATATTATGAGGCATGATAAACTATTATACTAAACCTTTGTTCTAATGTTTTTGTATAGTACATTTGTCCGTAGCACTCTGTAATTTCATCTCCTTCTGGAATTTCTCTAAAAAAATTTAGCCCTTTTTTTTTTTTTTAAATGTGTAAACAAAAAAAAATATGATATATTAGTTTTCGTGTATGATCATATTATTTTCATCATTCAATTATAATAAAACATCAACTTTGTTAATATCTGTAAAAATATAATTTTCAATTAAGATAGGAGGCCGTTCCTTGCCTACAGAGTGGTCGTCCTTACAACGTACTTTGGGGGACGATAGTTTGGCCGCTAAATGTCTCACGCTGAATTCGGGAATGTGATGTGGTCGACCACTGTAAGGTTTGAAAGGAATGGCCTCGGAATTAGAAATTTATAAAATAATACGATAATTATAATGTCGTCTTTAATTCCAGTTTACCTGTTTGTAACACTAACCATACTCTTCCCATAGTTACATCTCATAAAACAGGGGGCACAGGAGTGGTTGTACAGGGCTGCAGTACAGTATACACCAGCACCTAGATAGATAGATAGATAGATAGATAGATAGATACATAGATAGTAAGTAAGTAAGTAAGTAAGTAAGATTTATTAGAGATAAATCAAGATCATAGGAATATAATTGAATATATCATGGGTTTTATCACAGATTAAGATAAGATTATATCATCTGAGCTGAAAACTTTAGAATGGTGGATATCAGGATTAATGCTTAATCCGTTCCTTTTCTTAATATCCAGTTTAAATATTGCTTGTTCTCCACATGAATTTAAACTCCAGAAAAGTCAACAGATCGGGATTAAGGATATCAGATTCTAAAGTTTTCAGCTCTGGAAGTTTAATTTTCTCTGCATGTAGGGAATAGCAGATTTTCTGTATTTCTCCGTTCTAGCATAGCTGACAGTAAATAGTTCAACATACCGTAGCTGGTGGTTGTGAGTGACTGGTTCTACCGGGAATAGGGCAGAATCCCTTTGAGATTTTAGACATTTTTTAGCAAAGGATAAACAAAGTTTCTCTCTCCTAATCCTTAAGGTTTCTAGTTCCAGAACTGATAGAGCAGATTGATAATTAACATATACTGGGCCTAGAATAACTTTTAGGGACACCTTCTGAACCCTTTCTAGGGCCTCACCCTGTGCTATGGTTAAAGAGGAACTCCATACTACACAACAGTACTCAAGAATACTACGTATATACGCAATGTAAACTCTAACCAGGTCTTTCAGGTTCATACCAATAAACTTGAGTTTACAGAGTAGGGATAATCAGGCATAACTTTTTTGCATATTTCTCTTGTATTGGTCTCCCAATCTAGGTTTTCAGTTATCCAGACTCCAAGTAACTTCATTGATTCGACTCTTTGGAGGTTAGAGCTATTTAGTTTAAATCTGGTACTAAAGTTAGATTTAGATCTGGTGAATAGCATATAGTTGGATTTCTCACAATTAAGCATAATTTTATTCTGTTCAGTCCAGTCTGATATTGTGTTAACGCAAATCTGAGTGTGAATGCTGGTCGGAGGGATAAAAATATTATCAATACCAATATCTGATGAAACATGCAGCTTATGGTTATATGAGGATATTCCTGTTGAAAGGTTGGATAAATAGAGAAGTTCAAGTATAGTTAGATCGTCAACATATTTAAATCTGCAGTCAGTATTAACACAATCTGCATTATCATTGCATTGAACTAGGTACTCCAGTACTCCAAGAAGTGTACCCTGTGGACCACCTCCCAGCATGTGGTATGTTTTAGAAGTACTTCCATTAAATTTTACTGACATAGCTAGATTTATTTGACAAGTAACTTGATATTACACTGAGAAGAGCAGGATGGACTCCTAGATTCATAAATTTTATGATCCCTAGAGTGGGACATTGCCAATCAAAAGCAGCTGACCAATCCAACATAGTTGCTAGTACTCCAGTATGTTCCTTGCTGCAAACAAGTATTAAAAATGTTAGTCAAGGGTAGGGCAAGCTCAGATGCGAATTCGGTTCTAAGTTTATATGTTAGATCAATAGGAAGGACGGATTTGGTTCTTTTCATCCTTCTCAGTTCGTTGTATATTTCATGCTCATGTAGAGTTGGCGGGGGGAGAGAAGGAAGGAAGGATGGGAGAATATTTTATTTAATGGTTCATATTCTTGAGATATCCTGGCAAAGTGTTCAGCAACACAGTCTGCTGCATCTTCGTCAAGAATATCATTAAGACATTCTACATTGATAGAATCAGATTTAACATCTTGCAAGCCTATCTTTTTAACCAGACTGTACCAACGGGAGGGGCTGGAGTTTAAGGCTTCATCAAAAATTCTGGTGTAAAATCTTTTACAATTTGCTTTCTTTACAGTTAGAAATTTTTTCTTTAGGGTTTTCCAAAGAGGACTTTTGCGATTTCTCCAAAATTCTTGCTTCATTTTTCTGTTTATTCTTTTTAGCTCTGGTGTCATCCATGGTTTATCTAGAGGACTAACAGTGATACTTTCTCCAGGAAAAAATTCTTCATATTTAGATCTGATAGTATTGTAAAAGTTCCTAGTTTTCTCGTCTGTATCATCAGTGCTCAATATTTCATACCAGTTATGAGAAGTCAAGAATCTGCCAAATTCATTAATTCCCAAATGAGTAATAGGACAAGATTTTATTGATTTTCTAGGCGGTAGCATTTGACTGTTTGAGACAGTTTTCGGAAGAAAGATTACAATCTTGTGGTCACTAGGTTCACCAGGTAGGTCTTCATCACATTCAAGCGGGTTACATACAAACGGAGGGTAATAGTTTTCTTTCATATTGGTAAGGATGATATCGAGTACTCTGTTCCTATGAGTAGGAGTTTCCACAACTTGCTTCATGTTCTCCAGGGAATCTATTATAGGTTGCAGAGCAAGATTATTTATATCTCCACCAATTAAGAATGTTATATCATTATATCTTGCATTTAGAATATGTATAGCACTAATCATAAACTCAATAGTTTCATTCATCAGTCTAGATCTTGGTGGAACATAAAGTGCAGATAAACCAATGTTGAATGTTCTATTTTTGACCTTTACTCTCAAAATTCGCCAAATAACCTCTATGCCTTGAGGGGGGTTAAGGTCAGGGTCAAGAATATTATAGGTTTTCTTAACCAGGATTGCAACTCCACCACCAGGGTGACCAGTTCTTTTTTTTGATATAACATTGTATGTTTCAGAATCAATCAACATTTCAAGATTAGGAAGAACTCGCTCCCAGGTTTCTGATATTAGAGCAACATCCAAATCAAGCTAATTCAGAATGAGTTTTAAGTTTTTTGCTTCATTGTACAGGCTTCTTGAGTTTATAACAACTGAAGAGGGTGGATATTTTGGTTCATAATCATTGGCCAGTTCATAAGTAGTCTTAAGGTTTTTGTGAAAATCTAACATATCAGAGTCAATACTAGAATTGGAGTCATTTGTGATAAAACTGGCCGGACTTCCCTTGTCATTATTTAAAAGTTTTCCGAGGGCATCTCTGAATTAATGAGCAAATTGAACCATCATTATTTACTTGGTTGCTGGTATCTGTGTTCATCTGGTATGTCTGATTGGTTAGAACTGCAGGAACTGTTTCCATCTGATAATAGAGCTGGTGATGTTGCTGGTAGGTAGGACTAGATATGGTAGGGGGTGAGGTTTCTGCGGATAGGGTTGGTGTGGGATAGGGATATGTGGCAGGGACATGGATATTGGCTGGTTGGGATGTGGAGTATACTGGGTTGGTATGGTATTGTGTTGTGTGTTGGGAAGTTTGATCATGTGTTGAGATTGGTTGGTATTGGGTTTGTTGTTGATGGTTGGGTTGAATCAACAGGTGACTAGTTGGTTGATAATGCATCATGTTCTGTTGCTGAGTTGGGAGACAGCCAATCATGTATCCCTGGGGTTGGGGCACAACAGGTTTAGGTGGGGGGAGAGGGGTATAGTTGGACTGTGAGGAGGGGAGGGGGACAGGTTTAAGGAGGGGTTTGGGTGGTAATGAGAGGGTGAGCTGGGGTTTCATGAAGGGGGGGTGGTTGACAGCCTGTTGTTGTTGTATTAGGCAAAGTTTTGCATCAGGGATGTCAACCCGATTAACTTTAATCCATGCATCAGAGTTTGATTCACGAGAAAATAATGCCAGATCATCATGTGTATATCCTATAGCTGTTTTCACAGGTTGGGATTGGTGTCTCAGCTCATAAGCAATTTCCTCTAACTTTTTGAATCTATCCATCAGGGCTGGTGGTATGTAGGTAAGGATGTTGTAGTCCCTTGGGAGGTTCCTGACCTGCCTCATGATTGAGTGGCAGTCCAGGATATTCAAGAATTTGATAGATAGATAGATAGATTGTGCTGATTGGTTTGGCGTTTATCAATTAAGAGCTTTTGTCCGTGTTGACATTGATAGCTGAGCTTGTGTCTGTGCTGACATTGATAGCTGACTAATTGTACCTGGATAGATACGGGTTTGAGATTCCCTTATGGAGCAGGGCATTTACTATAAAAAGTGGTAGCAACGGCTAGTATCAAGGAACCTTAGTTAGATGCCTAGAATTCCAGGGAAGGCAAATCAAGTGAGTACCTGGTTTCAGGAAGTACTTAGAGTAACAAGACAAGAAGATATTTTAGAAAACAAAGCATCAACAGCAACACTGGACGCTGCTGAATCATTGTACCCTGGGCTACCGTGTGAGGACGGCTCAGAGATAGAACTAAGCATGACGGAAGTCAGAGGAGTGGGGAACCCCCCACCCTCACAGTTCAAGACCATAATGCAGAGATTGGAACGAATGGAACAATGAAAACAAGCTTTAGAGGTATTAGTTGGAACAATGCAAAGAGATGTAAAAGAAGTAAAAACAAAGAAGGAAAAAGAATCATATTTGTAGACATGGGAAGCTAATGCAAAACTGGAGAATCAGGATTCCATTGCAAGAGTAACAGCAATGCTAGAGAAAACCAAGCTCACAGATGCAAACCGTATAAGTAAGGGTTTCCTAGATGGAAGGACAAGATGGGTGACATAGTGAAGGATGTATATCCGTTAACAAACGCTCAAGAAAATTTCCAGAAGTTAAAAGGAGCCACAATATTCACAACAATTGACGCTTGTGGTGCCTATCACTGTGTGCGAATCGAGTAAAGCAGAAGAGATTGTACAGCTCATTTATCAACCTATTCAGCTCTTTTCCTAACGGTGAAGAGTTTATAAATCAGTTATCGAAAAGAGATCAAGAGTTGAAAATATTACCAAGACACTACATTACAATCTATCATCAAATACTGTGGAGAGATGGTATAGAACTATAGTGGGTATTTTAAGAGCCATGGGAAGAAAGATGCAGGATGAATGGGATCTGTGTACAGACCAGGTAAGGATAAAGTTAAAAAATTAGTTGTGTTTAAAAAATCCAAAATTTCAAATTGAAGTTTTAAAAGAATTTTTATTTTCTCACCCAAAGATTTAACTTGGTTAGAATTCAGCCAACGTCTATGTAATTAGTATTCAATTTACTGAACAAATGTGTTTTTTATCTCTAACATTTAGCATCGTCGAGAGGTATTTTTATCTCAATATACAAAGGTATATATGGCCATAAAAAGTATTAAAAAATACGAAAATGATACGTTTAAAGAATTAAATAAAATAGTAGAATTTATGAAATATATAAATTGAATGTTTTCCTTGGATCTGCTGTCTCCATTAGTGCAATATCATGAACATTCTGTTTATTATCATCATATTATATCATTACTTTTTGATTTTTATTATTTATATTATTACTAACTAGCTGAAGTGCACGGCGATGGCCGTGGAAAAAAATTAGATTTTTGAAAAAAATGTAGAAATTTTGCCCATTTGGCCAGCTACAGCTAACATAAATATACTAGGCTAATTGGGTGTTTTGCGCCCATCTTTCATTTTCCATTGTAAACATGTTCTCTTTTGTGTACATTGTAAAACAAAAACAAACAAAAATTTCATGGATTTTTAAAATTTTCAAAAATAGAATTTTGATGGAGGCAAATATTTGAAAATTTGATCACCCATAAACCTTCCATGGGGTCACGCGAGTTCTCAAAAAAAATTTGAGCCCTATCGGTTCAGCTGTTATGATATTTATTGGTTACAAATTACTATTACTATTATTATTATTATCATTTTTATTAATAGTATTATATAATGATAATTGTTTCCTGGGGTAGTGTATTAATAAAGTGTAGAAGAAGCGTACCTAAATAAAAAATAATTCGTTTTAAAAAACTTAATACTTTTAGGACTTTTTATTATTTTAGCTAAGATGGTAAATAAAAAAATAAAACCTTACCAATAAATTTCTCCTTCTCGCTTATCTCTACGGCCTAAAATATAAATATTGAATTCAAAATTTAAAACGTCGAAAAGTATACTTCTCTGAAAATATTAAAATTTAAATGATAAGAAATTGTATTCATAATTTTTTATTAAAAAAATTACGGCCATATTTTTTTTGCATCAATCTCCAGTTTTTGAGAAATCATAAATTAAGTGTGAATAATAAATAGAAAAAACTTAAGTTTCTTTGTCAATAATACTAAAGCTAAAGGTTGAGAGGTTAACAAGTCATTGAAAAACTTAGCTCAACATTAAAATTAAAACATTAAATATTAAATTTCGAATTGCTCTGAAACCCTGTCGTTATACTAGAGTGGTGATGATTATGAGTGTATATAATTTGGAAGGTTTTTCCAACTCTTTGAAAATTTATTATCTGCTAATCTCAACCTGTTGTTGTTGTTGTTGTTGTTGCTCTGAGAAGAAGTTGTTGAACTGTAAAAGTTTAAGAAGGAATGTGGACACAAAGGTTCTAAATTTGATCTAATTCTTCTTCAAATTATCATCCTCGACCCAAAACATTTAACATTTTTCAGACATTTTAGAAGTTTTAAAAATTAAAAACAGAAAATATTGTCAGAATGACATCCTTTTTTTCTAAAAACAAAATTGTCTGAAATTCATTTGGACAGTTTTTGGAAATTTTTGACATTAATTAAAATTGTCTGAATAAATTGTCTGACATTTATTAAATTGTCTGACATATATTAAATTGTCTGACATTTGTAAAATTTTCTGACTTTTATTAAATTGTCTAACATTTATTAAATTGTCTGACTTTTATTAAATTGTCTGACATTAGTAAAATTTTAAAACTTTTATTAAATTGTCTAACATTTATTAAATTGTCTGACATTTATTAAATTGTCTGACATTTGTTAAATTTTCTGACTTTTATTAAATTGTCTGACATTTATTAAATTGTCTGAAATTATTAAATTTGTCTGACAATTGTTAAATTGTCAGACAATTTATTGAAGTTTTCTGACAATTTATTGAAATTGTCTGACATTTATTGAAATTGCCTGTTATTTATTGAAATTGTCTGACATTTATTGAAATTGTCTGAAATTTATTTAAATTGTCTGTTATTTATTGGAATTGCCTGTTACTTACTGAAATTGCCTGTTATTTATTGAAATTGCCTCTTATTTATTTAAATTGTCTGGCATTTATTTAAATTGTCTGACATTTATTGAAATTGTCTGACATTTATAGAATTGTTTGATATTTATTAAAATTGTCTGAAATTTATTTAAATTGCCTGTTATTTATTGAAATTGCCTGTTATTTATTGAAAATGCCTGTTATTTATTGAAATTGCCTGTTATTTATTGAAAATGCCTGTTGTTTATTGAAATTGTTTGTTATTTATTGAAATTGGCTGTTATTTATTGAAATTGCCTGTTATTTATTGAAAATGCCTGTTATTTATTGAAATTGCCTGTTATTTATTGGAAATGCCTGTTATTTATTAAAATTGCCTGTTATTTATTGAAAATGCCTGTCATTTATTGAAAATGTCTGTTATTTATGAAATTGTCTGACAAATTCGTCTGATTATGAGTCTGCCAGAACTGCTAGTTTTTACTTAAATAGAAATAAAAGATCTGTTCACTAATATTGAAATAAAGATCTATTCCGTCATATTAAATTAAGTGACTGTTCAGCGTTCTCTCTAACGGAATTATAAAGTCCTGTTCATGGTATTAAAGAAGAATATGTCCCTGAGCAGAAATTCCTCAGAATCTAGTTTATCCTCATGACAGACCAGATTATACGCGTTAAAAAAATCTTCAGATTTGTACTCAGAACTCCTAGGATACAAAAACGACATTCAAGATCAATATTCTAAAAGAAGGCGACATTGATATTATGTGAGAGGACTAATCTTATTTAGTGTTTCCCCCCATGGTTTGCTTATGTCTAATACTTCATTGAAAGGGATGCAGGAGGGGGGGGAGATTCATTAATGCATATCTTTTTTTTTAAGTGAAAACTGAATAAAGCAGAATGAAAGTCGTATTTGACAATTCTTTTAACTACAGGGTGTCCCACAAAACATGACATTCAATACATAGTTATTTTCAGATAAACAAATCTTTTGCTTAGTTATATTTTACTTTGAAATCAATTTCAATATAACATGACTCTCATACAGTGAACCCCTTAATAACGAATACATCGAAAGAATTCATCAAATGTCGTATTCTTCACTTTCTGATAATGGAATGTTGCAGATATTTCGTTTTTTAATTAAATGATTACATGGAACTCTTTGAAACTGTTCCCGCATATTCATGGCTATTTATTTATTTTCGCAAATACCGAAATTTACGTAATATAGTATATAACTCATTGAAAAATTGTCAAGACGACATTTGATAAATTCCTCCGATGTGTTCGTTATTAAGGGTTTCACTGTATATTATTTGTATTGATATTTGGTATCAAACATCTTGACAAATAATGGAAAAAGGCATTCTAAACTATTCACCAACTGTCATGTTTCGTGGGACACCCTGTAGATATGCCACTGAACATCTGGTTCAGGTCTCATTTTTAGAAATAAAAAAATTATTAGCAATGAATTTCTTCCTGAAAGAAAGAACAAAGACGACATTTATTCTGCCTTGTCATGTTTATAAATATTTAAAAACTCTGTTTATCGTTTGGGAAAAAATGTCTGTTAAGCTCAAACCACAGATCCCTGTTTCCACAACCATAACCGTAGAGAACAGAATCTGTTCACAGTAGTTCAAGCCAGGACGGAGAGGTTAAGGAGATCATTTATACCTTATATCCAATATATATATGCTTTTACCAATGTGACAAATTTAAAATGTATAATCTAATTTTGTATGAATGTTAATCCTTTGATTTTTATCACAATAAACTCTATTTATTTATTTTATTTATAAATGTTCAGGAGGGTTATCCACAAAGGATAAGACTTCAGAGACATCTGTAATTCATTGTTTACTCCTAGTCCTACATTTATGGTTTAATGCAGCTTTCATCTTGTTTCTTTGTTTGCCAAATCTTCTAAAATACCATTGAAAGACTTTATTTTAGGCAGAATGCCTATTCAATCTGTAAAAGAGCTTAAACTCGTCATTAAAGTCTCATCTGTTCTGGGTAACCCTGTATTAAAAGGTTACAATTACAATCAAGATTTTAAATAAAGAGCTTTTTATAAAAGCAAACCTTTCGATTTCAGCCCCCGAGGTTTCATCATGGCTGAGTTCGTCTTTCAAATTCCATAAATAGTCAAATCCAAATCTGAAAATTAAAATTAAAAAAAAAAAAAAATGTATACCTTGGAAATAGTAATCTAATTATTAAAAATACAATGATCATTGAGACATAGCTACAAGCTACCTTGCAAGTAATCTTATTGTTAAACATACAATAATCATTGAGACATAAAGCTACAAACTACCTTGCAAGTAATCTAATTGTTAAAAAAACAATAATCATTGAGACATAAAGCTACAAGCTACCTTGCAAGTAATCTAATTGTTAAATTGCCACAAAAAAATAATCATTGAGACATAAAGCTACAAGCTACCTTGCCAGCAATCCAATTGCTACAAATCAATAATTATTGAGGCCTAAAGCTACAAGCTATACCTTGCAAGCAATCTAATTGGTACAAAACAATAATCATTGAGACCTAAAGCTACAAGCTACCTTGCAAGTAATCTAATTACTACAAAACAATAGTCATTGAGACATAAAGCTACAAGCTACCTTACAAGTAATCTAATTGCCACAAAACAATAACCATTGAGACATAAAGCTACAAGCTACCTTGCAAGTAATCTACTTGTTAAAAATACAATAATCATTGAGACCTAAAGCTACAAGCTACCTTACAAGTAATCTAATTGCTACAAATCAATAATTATTGAGACCTAAAGGTACAAGCTATACCTTGCAAGCAATCTAATTGCTACAAATCAATAATTATTGAGAACTAAAGCTACAAGCTACCTTGCAAGTAATCTAATTATTACAAAACAATAATATTGAGACATAAAGCTACAAGCTACCTTGAAAGTAATCTAATTATTACAAAAAAATAATCATTGAGACATAAAGCTACAAAGTAATCTAATTATTACAAAACAATAATATTGAGACATAAAGCTACAAGCTACCTTGCAAGTAATCCAATTGCTACAAAACAATAATCATTGAGACATAAGCTACAAGCTATACATTGCAAGTAATCTAATTGCTACAAAACATTAATCATTGAGACATAAAGCTACAAGCTATACCTTGCAAGCAATTAATTGCTACAAAACAATAATTATTTAGACCGAAAGCTGCAAGTTACCTTGCAAGCAATCTAATCGCCAAGAAAGGATAAACATTGAGACCAGAAGCCACAAGTATACCAAGTAATCCACATTCATATCTTAAAAATAAAGAAATTCATAATTTGCATAGATGCATGAAAATTACAGTTCAGAAAATGAGTCATGGCTCATGAAATGTCATGGATAAACTTCTTTCTTTTGGGATATCCCTAAAGTTTGATAAAGACACAAAAATCTGTTTTGGCCAACACAAGATTGCTAAATAAGGAGTCAACTGAAGGAAGAAATAGTAATGGAGAATGGTTTATCATAAAGAAAGCACTTAATTGCTTCAAAGAAAAGTTAAAGCTGTTAATATTGAGTGACGATGTAGATTGAGGCGAAACAAATGTGTTGACCTCTGATCTAACCTGTGATATGTGTTTAATGCTATATCTCTGCATTCCACACTGCAGAAACTGACCCCACAGCAGGTTCTAAAAAATAAAAAATAAATATTCAACAAAGCAAAAGTTAATTTTGTCATTTTCAGGCTTTGTAACACTACATTTTCTTTGTCAACCTGATTACGAATAGCTTCTGTCTATGAGCCATAGCATATATATTCTCTATTTGAAAAAAATACTGATTTATCAATAAAATATTTATCATCAAAAAAATTCTGTTTTTAGGGAACATTTTGAGTTATATCATATGGAAACTTGTGCTCATAACTTGGGTTTGATCTATTATCTTTCAAAAACCGGGAATTAATAGTCATAGGCTAAAATCAAGACAATTTGTAAAATTTACGTACAATTTCCAATTTAATGAGCCCAATTTTAGGCTTTAGATCTAAAATGACAATTTTAAAACCTCCTAAAGTTTCCAACTGGAGTGAATTAATTTGGTAAAAATAAAGATTGCCCATAAGGGTCTATGCAGATTTGCTTATAATCGGATTTTCAAGATTGAGACCATTTTTTTAATATCTGTCTACAATTTCCGATTTAATGAGCCCAATTTTAGGCTTGTAGTTCTAAAACTACAAGCACTGTAATAAACTGTAACCTAACAATGAACATAAAATTGTGCAAACAGAGATTATCATATACTTTTTACTGCGCTTCAGTTGGAAATTTTAGGAGCCTTAAAAAATGGTTATTTTAAATCCACTAACCTAAAATTGGGCTTTTGAATCAGAAATTGTATGTAGATATTAAAAATGGTCTCAATCTTGAAAATTTGATTACAAAGGAGTCTGTAAATCCTTATTTCCCATTTTTTTAAACACCCTGTACATAATTTATCAATATCTTTTTTTTATTTTTATATCTTTAATCTTTGCTATACCATCTATCTTTTTGAAGCATCTTTACCCTTTGAAACAAATGGACTCACAACACATTTTCTGGTTGATAAATAATGGTTTAATTCTTGATTGTAGAATCTTACAAAATCGAAAATATAAAATTCCTAAAGCAAAAATAAAATAAAATTAAAAGATATCTTCATAAAAAAACAAGGCTTTCATATATATGTTCCCTAAGGCCGACCAAACGGCTGGACCAAATGGGCTTAACATTTTTGTAGACACTTATGGGTCGCCTTGGGATGACAGAATGGCAAAAAAATTAAATTTCAAGTTTTTTCCACGGGCAACGCCAAACCCTTCAGCTAGTGTAAAATAAAACAGATACAAAATTTGGTTAAAGGGACTGTAAATGTAATTTCCAGTGGCCCTCTATACAAAGGCAATACCAAATTCACAATGCTTCCCTTAAAACCTCAATCAGATCAAAAATGTGGAAGATACCATCGTTTTTCTGATGTAAAAAGTGATTAATTTGGATACCATTTTAATTCAGGTATTGCAGTGTTTGCATGAATGGTCACAGAAAATTTCACTTACAGTCCCATCAAGTGGATATTGCTTTTTGTATAACCCTCTTTACTGTAGAATTTCAAATAATGTGCTGATTTAAATACAGATTAGGAAAGCTGAAACAATTTGTAAAATCATGAACTTCATACTTAAGCAAGAAGTAGTTTACAATAAACTTTTATCTTTGCAGACTTTGATATCTCAAATAATGATTTATGCCAAATCAAATAGTTAAAGTTTGAATTATCAAAGCTTACATTACCAGTTGCAAAGTGACTAGAAAATTCAAGTTAGTGGCAAGTGTTCAGTTCCTATTTATGGAGTAACGTTTCACCCAAAAATATGTGTATATGGTACAGCACAGTTTCTTTTATTTTATCTTTAAACTGGGCATAAATACATTTGTAATCTTCTTTTCATTGAAAAAAGAAAATTGCTGTTAAAATGAAAACAAAAATATCTTGTATTTTGGTAACTTTTAATCACAGGTTTAGCACTTCTTTAGTTGTTTGAACAATAAATATACAACAATGAATAACAATAGAAATATATGAACTAATAATAATCTAAATAATAATCTAAATAACAATCTAAATAATAATCTAAATAATAATCTCCAATGTGGAGCAGTAGCGTTCTATGATTTCAGGCTTGGTGAAGATTTTTTTCTTTTGTTTCTTCTTATTTGGTGCTGAAGGGAGGGAATAAAATTCCTCACTGTTCTCTATAATGTTTCTTCTTGAGTTGTAGCGTCCAAGGGAAGAGTATCGATAATCCTAATTTTTACATTTTAAAGCATCTAATTACAATAATATTCAGTGAACTATAAAAGTTGAACTCAATTTTTTTTTTTAAAGTAAATTTAAAATGTTTCCTTTGCTTGTGAATCCTCTAGATCATAATCATCAAACATTATTGAAGCTTCTAAAGTCTCCTTCTTTACTTCAGTCTCCTTGATATAAGAATTTCATTAAAAATTGAATATAATTATTTCTTCAAAAAATGTTTCACCTTGTATCCAAGAAATTCGGATATATTGTAGGTCTTGTAGATTTGCTCATAGTCCTGAACAAGATAAAAATGAAAAATTAAATTTTAAAGTTGGATTTATTTCTACCTTTAAATCTTCTTTTGATGGCTCAGTTCCTACATTTACACAGCTTCTAAAAATTAAAAATGATAAATTGATAATATTTATTCCAAACTATAATAATTTTTTTATATCAAAAATACCTGTCAAACACTGGATTACTGAAGTAACTTAAACTGCTTGCAAAATCTTTTTCCTCTAAGAAATTAGTCATCCGTTCAAATATTCAGTTCATTGATTTTTTCTTTTGCTAATTATTACCTTTTCTTCTAGTTGTATCTGTGTGACTCTTTTTGTTTAAAGAATTATGATCTGTGCTTTTTGAAAATTCAAAAAGACAACCAGAGTTATTGGAATCATTAGGACCCATTTCTTTCCTTGGAATCTGATCTTTAGCCTCTATCCACAAAATAACAAAATATCAATTTATTGTCTTAATGAAATTCCTAAACTTATATTGTGCTAAATAACCTTGTAGGCTCTGAAGGTTTTGATAGATATTAGCTGCAGAGTGATAACTGACTGGTAGACGGGTCCTAAGTGTTAAACAATTTGATATAATTCCAAGGGAAACAGAATAAAACAGCTTGCTATAGAACCTCTCTTGCTGCGGTAATGTTATATATATTTGAATTTATTTTTTCAAATTAGTACTGCATAAACATTTGTGATTTGTTTTCAATTTGATTTGTAAATATCAATTTGTGTGAATATTAAACATTTTTTGATATCTTAATTCAAACCTTCTTTGAAAGTAGGGTCTTGTAAAGCTTGATGTAGAAAGGTGTTGAAGTGTTTGAAGAGGATATGGAGGGTAGAGAGGATGAATGCGAGCTGGGAAACTATGAAATCCCGGGTAAAAATTCTGGGTTCTAACAGAATTTATTGTTTTAATTTCTAGTTGAGAAGGATATCAGGCAGGTAGCTTTAATTTTTTTTAATCTGATGTTTTTGAACTTTCAAAAGACTCCATCACAATTTAAATTATAAAAGTTTGCTTTTAGTTTACAAGATTTTAATTCTAAAACTAAATAAACTTTTCAGATTTTTAAGTTTTAAAAGCAAATCAAGTTGCTTTTGAGTACTCTAATTAATTGAATACAAATAATTCTGTATCATGTTAAAATCTTTTGAAAATGAATAGCACTGATTGCACAAAAAGTCATTAAACATGTATCTTCCTGTTATGCCTCCTTGTAGACATTGACATTGCCATTCTATCTAGTCTTCTATTTTCTTCAACCATCTAGGTGGTAAATAAAAAATATAGGTTATTCAAAACCTCAGAAATGTTTTTCAATATCAGAACATGACAAAGTTGTTACCTTTTGCTTTTCCACTAATTTGTATCTTGAAATCTCCAGCTCTCGCAGCTCTCTGGATAAAGCAGCAATAATAAAAATATTTGGCAATAAAAAAAATAAAAAAATGTTTAACATCCCTGATCAAAGGCTATAATTGGCAATATAAATGATTAAGATACAAAACTATGTTTTTAATCAATCTTTTTTTGTAAAATCATAAAAACCAGAAAATTTTACATTTTACAGTTTTTAGTTTCTAGTTCTAAGGAACTGGGTTCTCTCCACCAACTTTAAATTTCTCATCAATATATCTTTGAAACTTGATTGTGCAACCAATTTCTATTTAAACTGTGACTGTTTGGTCTAATTTAATTCGTTTTTTGGAATATTGAAAGGCGTACAAAATAAGGTTACACAGATATAAGGATTAGATGATTTAAGTTTGTGGCAAATGATCAGTTTCTTTGGCATGAAAAATATCCTGGTATGCTTTGGATATCTCATAGGCCAAACATATTGGCCTTGAAAGCACATGGAAAATTTCCTGAACTTCCTTGTGTATGCTATTGCTGATTTTTCCTGAGTTTGTTTCTAATATAATCTGCTTTCATATTGATAAAGGTTTGGTCAACAATGAGCCAAATAAAGATCAGAACCAATCCAAGGACAAATGGAACAACTTTGACAAACAATTTAACAGTAATATTATAAATCTCAATTCATAACTTTAGGCAGCTCTAGAAGTTTTTTTTGTAAACTAACAATAAAATTCATGATAAACTACAGTAAATCTTGTTTTTAATCATTACTGATATACATATATATACTGATATACAACCACATGAACTTTTTTTCATTTTCATTTCGTACAATGCAAACTACAGGAGCTCTGAGGTCACAAAGTCCTTCTGACTAATTCACCGAAAGTTTGTGAACAAGAATTGCAGAGGCCTGGCCATGCTACCTTGCTATAATTTCTTACAGTGAGACCTCTAAAACTGTGATTCTAACAAACATCTTCTTTTTCCACAGTTTTACAAGTCCCACTGTACAACTTTGTTTTTACTTACAATAAACAGCAACAATTGCAATCCTTATATTCAGCAATTACTTGAAATAGTGAGAAGTGTCTAAATTGTTAAAATTTTCCTGCAAAAATAGATTTAATGTACTCTGGGGGTTGCGTCAGAATACAGTATCGAACAACAATGTATATTCCTAAAAAATTATTAGTAATGGTTTTATTAGTGATAGGCATCCTTACAGATCTATTTTTTAACATGTAAGACTTTCTAGGTAGCTCCGCAAAAATTCAAAGTATGGCAGTTTAAAATTTTACTTTTATAATTTTGCTTTTATTGTATTCTGCAAAAATTTTACTTTGAAGAAAATTATGATAGGCCTGAGTGGCAAATCAAAACAATTGGCCCAAAGTTCTATATCAAATCAACGTTTTGCATCGTATCAAAATAACCAAACTTTTAGCAAATTTTGAAATTTGTTAAACTTCTCAGGTATCTTTTAACAGATATTAAAATGATGCCCTACACTATTCTTACCTATTGCAATACTTGACATGATCACAAAAATATGGAGAAAAAGCCATGGAAGAAGAAGATACCTATAATTGGAACTAGTTAGATCTTAATGAGTTTATAAAAAAAATTACCAATCTAATTCTTAACTTACCAAAAGAATGAAGTTTTTTTTTACTAACACTGATTTTCTAATCTTGCTCTTTGCAACCCAATCTCATAGACTTTAGATATTTAAAATTCTGAATTCTGTTAGATGAATTAAACTAAATTGGACATATCAAAGGTTTACACTAACAGGTTGCAACGACAGAGGAATTAGAAAATTTAATGTTTACTTCGTTTTTTTAATAGATTTATGATTTTGTAGCAAGAGTTTTTTATATTATCGTATTCTCAACATATTTAAGATCAAATGTTCCGGAAAACGAGTTTGATATATTAATTGCTGTCCTTCATATTTCAGGGCTATTAATTTACCTTGAATTTAAAAATAAAAAGCAGTTCCTTAAGAATTATCCAAAAACTTCTGACTCTACAATTTTCAAATTCATTTAAAGGCAACATTTCATGCGCTCTTGCTTTGTATTCTTATATATCATATATTCACTTTGTTTTTTTCTGATACAGCAAGGACACAAAGAAGATCTTGATTTTGCACATTTTGGAGAAATCTTGACAACATCTTCTTTTAGATTACCTATTCTTGATCTTGACAGCAACCACAAGAAGAAAGCTGACAAGAAGGCCAAGAAGAGCAGCAACAAGTCCAATTACAAGATGTATTACAGTTATCAAATCAGGCTTAACATAAAAGTTTAAATTTTCAAATTTAAACTGTTGAAAAGGCCAAAAATGGCTAAAACGTGGTATAAAGGTTTTGGCACTTATGAAAATAATTTGAAATGATAAGATTTGGTATTTGAGCTAGTTTTGCAATAATGCTTTTTCGATATAATGGAGACAGCATTTTGAATTATTATGCATTTTTTACCTGAACCATAGACCAAAGGTAAACTCCTATTCCTAGTAGAACATAGAAGAAACCCAAAGCTACTCCAGCAACCTAAAATCCATCTTATAATTATAATACAGTTTAACCCAGTACTTTGGAGACATCAAAATAATTCATAAAATGTCATCTTAACAATTTTTCAATGGGTTTATACTAAATCTCAATAATTAATAAAAAGAAATAGCCATGAATATGCGTGAACAGTTTTAAAGAGCTCCATTTAATTGTTCAATTAAAAACTAGATATCTGCACAATGTCATTATCAGTAAGTAAAGAATACAACATTATAATAATTCTTTCAATGTCTTCAAGTACTCTGGGTTAAACTTTACATATATATAGGTTGCCACAAAATAAGACAATTGTGAGTTTAAATAATCAAAATTTAGAAGCTCAAACTAATTTCAATTTTAATTTTATAAAATGTATCAAATTAATATTATTAGATTTTGGGGAGTTCAGGTTTGTCCATCTCTCTCTTTCAAGCTTTCTTGCTTTAAGTGGTAAATAAACATGACACGACAGCATTTACATTTTTTTTAAATAGGCATTTGGGAAATTTCTCAGATACCCGGGCATTTGGGAAATTCCCCAAATTCTTATAGGTGTTTGAGGGTGGTATATTTTTAAGATTTTGGAAATTTCTCAAATGACTGGATATTTGGGGAATTTCCCAAAAACCTAGGCATTTGGGAAATTCCTCAAATGTCTGGTTAATGGGAAATTCCTATTTTTGACATTTTTGATAATTGCTCTTAATAAAGAAAGAAAATTAATAAATTTAGAAAATTTGTTTTCAAATTAAAAGCTGTCTTACAAACAAACTGAACATTTTAATCCCTTTAAACTTTCAATGGATGGTGAAACTTTGATATTTTAAACTTATTCTAATAGATACAGCATTATTCATGATTCAGCTTATCAAAGATCTATCATATTAGATTGCAAAGATATAGGAATTAGAAAATTAGAAGGGAGTGTTAAGATTCCTCACAGATTTTTGTAATGGATGTGTACATTTTTAAATCGTTTCATAAGCTTTTAAAAATCATTTATGAGAATCTTAAATGTAAGCAAAAATAAGTGAAAATATTGACAACAATAAAATTTTCTTTTTTTTACAATACCAGATTCATATTCATATTTTTATTCAACTACAAAGCACGAGATAATACAAATAAAAAATCACAATTTACTATGTAGTTTGGACCCGCCTAACCAGAGTTGGTTGTTTTGATTGGTTGGCCCATTGATGCTTAAAAATAAAATTAATGTAAAATAAGTGGTTAATTCCTTCTTAACCATTTTCCCCTTAATTCTTAATTCTTTATTCTTAAAAGAAATATTTTTAAAGTAAGATTAAAAAAGTGTAACCTGCGTAACTCTCTTCATGGGTATTTTCATCTCCATTTTTAATTTTCACTTTGGTTTCATTCACAGTTATTCAGATGACGGCGTAAACATAACTCTTCCAACATTTTTCTTTATTTCTGTTAGAAGAAGATAAAGAGCTTGGATGGAAAACATGATCGAATTAACTCAAGTAGTGTATAACTTGACACAAATCTTTTTAATCATTTCTAACAAAAATAGTTTTTTACAAATATATATATTTTTTTTAAAGATAATGGTTCCGAATGTATTTACAATTGTAGAAAAATGTATCAAAATATACACTAAAATGTGCTTAAAGATCAATAAGATTTTTTTTATCAGAAAATTTTCTACATCATGTCAATTCCTTTCGTTGCCCCCTGATGTATAAATCCGCAAAATGTCTCTACGCAAGAGAAACCACAATTGAAAATTTGTAATTTTTATAATTTTTGAGCGGCTAGACAAAGGAAGCGTTACTTGAAATTACGCCTACAGACCTTTCACTAGTTTCACCGGAATAATTCAAATGCGCCAATTTTGAGTTTTTTTTTTGGCGAGCGATCTTGCGAAATTAGAGCTTTAAAAATGGATGCGAATATGTCTTTACACAGTTTTAGACCCTGCTACTATTCCTATACTGAGATAAATATATGTATTATAATTCTAACAATACTATACAATCATAGGTGACATACTTTGATTTATCTATCTATCTATCTATCTATCTATCTATCTATCTATCTATCTATCTATCTATCTATCTATCTATCTATCTATCTATCTATCTATCTATCAATATTTACCTGCAAGGTATAACTGCTTTAATCTGTCCCATACATTCGGTACAGTGGGATCCAAATCTTGAAAAAAAAGAATTTTTTTTTGAGCTCTTTGAAAATATTTTAAATGCTTCAACGTATAAACTGAGAGAAAACTCTAAAATAGGAAGCCAATTTTTGTACTCAAATTATGGCTTTAAATAGTCCAAGAACATGAGACACAGCTATTGTGTAGTGTAAACAGATTCATTTCACTTAATTATTGATTTAATAATTTACAAGGATAACTATTGTAACAACTTTGAATGTCGTCTTCCTATTCCACAGTTTTCTTGTTCTCACTGTATATTTATTATGTAAAAATTGATTTACACAAAGAAAGTCGTTTTGACTGTTAGACTAATAATGTGAGGATGACATTTAAGAATGTTTTTTTAGGATTATGATTTTCCAACCACCTGTGAATTTTTCTAAATAACTTTTAAACGGCTTACATTAGAACGCCAGAACTTCATCACTTTTTCAACTTCATGTTTGATTTAGTTTTCTTGATTCGTAGGATAAAAGTGGAGGATAGTCAAACGGCGGGTCGGTGTTTAAAAAAATCAGAAATGATTAATAAATTTTTTATTAATTAAGCTAAAATTTTAATATTTGAAAAGCCCTTACAAATTGATGTACTAACATATGTCATGTGTTAATAATTTTCAAAAGTAATAATAACTATTTTTGAACATTTTTCCGACTTTCATTTTCACACTCTAACCTTTTATAAAGTTATTGGCCTAATTTATTTTTAATGAGCCTTAAAAATTTGGACCAGGGACAAGTATAACACTCCCCTATCTCAACTCTAAGGGAAAAATCATAGTAAACATCCTCCCTCATCTTTTTAACTTTAATGATTTATTTTAATAAAATTTTACAATATTTTTAAATATTATATAATATCAGATGAAAATATTTTGAGATTTATATATTTCTTGTTCTTCATTTTCTTCTTGTTCCTACATTTTCAATTATATTCGGCTAATTTTGACAATAAAAAGAAAAGATTTTTAGTGGATGTCCATGTAGTTCGCCACTTTACAAGAAATAACTATTTATAAAGGATCTTGCTTTTTTTCTGAACTTTGTATTCCATCCCTCATCTATATTAGACAAAAATAGCCAAATCGGGATAGGGTTAAGCAAACATATCCTTATACCATGGCTTGCAAATAATTTTGTTTCACATTCTTACTTATCTGGATGCAGGGACCATGTTATTGGCTTTTCCTTTAATATTGTACTCCCAACTGGAATTGTCTTGTTTGCAACAGCATATCTAGATTAAATTAAAAAAAAATTAGTTTATGAACTGTTCTTCTTGCATAAACTGCATTTAAAATTATAAAAAAGTGTTTCAAATACAAAAAATCATCTTGAAAAGGAAAAATAAGATTAAGAAACTTCTCTGAAGCATTTGTGGATATAATTTCAAGTGACCCTCTATTTACAGAATGACATGGCTCAATTCACAACGGTACCATTTAAGTTGTTGCTGAGCCACAAAAGGGATGATATAATCATTTTTGCAGATTTGAAAAGACGAAGTTTCGTCGTATTTTCCAGACAAAATTAAGGAAACTCTTCGTAAACAGGGTTCCGAAAGAATTTCCCCCTTTTAAAATTTACATAAAGAAACTAATTCTGAAACTTTCGAATTTAAATTGAAATACTATCGACACTATAGTTTCAGGAGAAGTAAATATTTCCATTTACTGTTAAGCACCGATATAAGGATTCATCTCTAATTGGATGATCAGGTAGATAGAAAGATAGATGATACTGCCAAGCAATTTCTGTTGGTTCAGAATAAACACCAAACACATGTCTGAACCCTGATTGGATCAGGCGCTAATGGAATCGCATACAAGTGTGTCGAGTCATCTTTAGAATCAATTCAAACTCGATAAATTAGGTTTGTTTGCATGGAGTATTAAACTTAAAGAGTTTCATGGACAATGGTTTAAATTAATCCTTTGAACGAAACATCTATTACAAAAAATTCGATAGAGAGTTTGTCTGATTTAAGTTTTATCGCTTAAAAATGCATTAATTTACTTTTCTTAACTTACCTTCCCCTTCCCTTTTGGTACTTGAAAGTGACAGCATCGGATATGGCTGGGAACATTTTACTGCACGATTCAACCTGAAAAGTACATTTTACAGCAAGATTCAACCTGAAATAGTACATTTTACTGCAGGTTTCATTCTGAAATAGTACATTTTACTGCAGGATTCAACCTGAAATAGTACATTTTACTGCAGGATTCAACCTGAAAAGTACATTTTACTGCAGGATTCAACCTGAAATAGTACATTTTACTGCAGGATTCAACCTGAAATATTTGTACAATAGTACATTTTACTGCAGGATTCAACCTGAAAAGTACATTTTACTGCAGAATTCAAGCTGAAAAGTACATTTTACTGCAGGATTCAACCTGAAAAGTACATTTTACTGCAGGATTCAACCTGAAATAGTACATTTTACTGCAGTATTCAACCTGAAATAGTACATTTGTAAAATAGTACATTTTACTGCAGTATTCAACCTGAAATAGTACATTTGTATAATAGTACATTTTACTGCAGGATTCTAAAAATAGTACATTTGTACAATAGTACATTTTACTACAGGATTCTACCTGAAATAGTACATTTGTACAATATTACATTTTACGGCAGGATTTTACCTTAAATAGTACATTAGTAAAATAGTACATTTACTGCAGAATTCTAACTAAAACAGTACATTAGTACAATAGTTCATTTTACTGCAGGGTTCTATCTGAAAAAGTACATAAGTACATTAGTACATTTTACTGCAGGATTTTACCTAAAATGGCACACTAGTATTAGCACATTATTACACATAATTATAACAGTAAATTCGTACAATTGTACGTTAGTACAATAGTGTGCAAGAGTACAATAGTACAATAGTACAATAGTGCAATAGTACAATAATAGAATAGCACAATAGTACACTATTACAATAGTACAATAGTACAATAGTACAATAGTACACTATAACAATTGTATAATAGTACGTTATTACAATATTACATTACTACAATAGTACTTTAGTACAAAAATACATTATTACACTAGTACTTTGATAGTATACTATCACTATGGGCTGATTTTAAAGATTGTATTATCATTATCATTATCCTAATCTATTAATACCTTTAATATTTTTTCTTTAAATTTATCAACTGTTGAAATGGTAACAACAGCAGAAGTTTTCTGTTTGTCTTTTACTTTTTCTCCTTCTTCAATCTAAACAATAAATAAATAAGAAAGAGTTATTTTAAGTCTTAAGAGTCATGAATATTAGTCTTGGACATCTTTTATCTTCAGAAACGTGCATGACTTTTAATTGTACATACTTTCTTTACCGCGTAAATCCTGTGTTTAACCTCGTGCATGCTGTGTTTACCACGTGAATCATTTGTTTACCTCGTGAATCATTTTTTTACCTCGTGCATGCTATGTTTACCTCGTGCATACTGTGTTTACCTCGAGCATGTTGTGTTTACCGTGTGCATGCTGTGTTTACCTCGTGCATACTGTGTTTACCTCGAGTACACTGTGTTTGCCTTGTGCATGCTGTGTTTAACTCGTGAATGCTTTTTTACCTTATGCATGCTGTGTTTACCTTATGCATGCTGTGTTTACCTCGAGCATATTGTGTTTACCTTGTGCATGCTGGGTTTACCTTATGCATGCTGTTTTTACCTTGTGCATGCTGTGTTTAACTTGTGCATGCTGTGTTTACCTCGTGCATGCTGTGTTTACATAGTGCATGCTGTGTTTACCTCGTGCATACTGTGTTTACCTCGAGTACACTGTGTTTGCCTTGTGCATGCTGTGTTTAACGCGTGAATGCTTTTTTACCTTATGCATGCTGTGTTTACCTTATGCATGCTGTGTTTACCTCGAGCATACTGTGTTTACCTTGTGCATGCTGGGTTTACCTTATGCATGCTGTGTTTACCTTGTGCATGCTGTTTTTACCTTGTGCATGCTGTGTTTACCTCGTGCATACTGTGTTTACCTCGTGCATACTGTGTTTACCTTGTGCATGCTGTGTTTACCTTGTGCATGCTGTGTTTACCTTATGCATACTGTGTTTACCTCGTGCATGCTGTGTTTACCTCGTGAATGCTGTGTTTACCTCGTGCATACTGTGTTTACTTTGTGCATGCTGTGTTTACCTAGTACATGCTGTGTTTACCTTGTGCAGGCTGTGTTTACCTCGTAAATGCTTTTTTACCTTATGCATACTGTCTTGAACATCCTTAAGAAATTTTTTCTTTTTCCCTTCCTCTAGAGCAGAGAACTTTAAACAATCAACAGCTGCTTCAAGTGCTACTCTTGACTCCTTATATCTATCATTAATGAAAACCATGATAACCTATTTGAAACAATTTTTATTATTTTGAAGTTTGCATTATGAGCCATTCCAGAAAAGTTACCAAATCATAAAGTTATTTAGATAAATTTCAAGATATGTACATGTTACCAAGAAAGTTTGCAAGATTAGAGACGACTGGTCAGATACAATTTAGTTTTTAGTAACAAATGCTAAGCAGCCAGGGGGTGGCAATGTACGTTTAATTAGGTATAGGATTGTCCGGTAACATTTGAGTTACCGGGTCTAGCCATAGGTCGGTAGCAAGCAAGAAGTATGAAATTATTTTTTTGAAAATTGATTCCATGTCAGGCTTGTGTTTACTTTTTGGCCCAAAGACAGTACACTGCAGTACAAAAAATGAGTGCACCTCTGAAATAACTTTTCTTGCATTAGAACCTTGACATTACCAATCTATATACTATTTTATCCAAGGAACTATATACAGGAACGCCCAGCCAACTCAGATATACGCAAATTGTGTACTGTACTCTGTGGGAGCCAAGGCACTAATGAAAGAAAAGTTATTTCAGAGGTGTACGTATTTTTTGTACTTTAGTGTAATGTCTTTGGACGGAAAAGTAAACACAAGACGGATATGTCACTGGTTTTAATATCTATGCAGAGTATACGCAACCGCAATTAACTTTCCTTGCATTAGTACCTTTGTGGGCGGAATTTAAACAAACCCAGTGCCCCCACAGAAGTTGAAGGGAAAGGACTAAAGCTTTGATGTGATATTACAGTCCAACAAAAAAAAGTTAATATATCAAGTTAGAGCGAATACATATGATTTTTGGCTTTCTGGTCAATATGGAAAATACAATAGCAATTAATTTATTTGAGGAAAAATACAGTAGCAATATTTTTGAGGAAAAATACAATAGCAATATTTTTAAGGGAAAATACAATAGCAATATTTTTGAGGAAAAATACAATAGCAAAATTTTTGAGGAAAAAAATAGCAATATTTTTGAGGGAAACAATAGCAATATTTTTGAGGAAAAATACAACAGCAGTATTTTTGAGGAAAAATACAATAGCAATTTTTTTGAGGGAAAATACAATAGCAATATTTTTGAGGGAAAATACAATAGCAATATTTTAGAGGGAAAAGGGCCCAAGGGGTGGACCATTGGGCCCTTTTCCCTCAAAAATGATGCGTTGCCTCTGAATTCTTTGTTTTAATTTTCCCGCTGCAGTACATAGATTTGACGCATCGGATATGGCGGTTCCTGGTCTATATATTTCTTGGTTTTATCTATGTGAGGAGATCAAATAAAATTCAAACTTTTGATCGTGGTTTTTTCAAAGTTTGCTCCTTTAATTTGAGTACCTCTGAGAGGATACCAAATTATACAAACTTTTTTGAATTTGTATATTTTAGTAGAAAACAATTAATAATCCCGTATGTTTTACCTTAAATATATCTACGTTTTAGACCCCACCCCCCCCAAAAATATTTAAGAAATAGATATTTTTTTAGATTTCTAGTTTTACCTTTTAAGAGCTAGAAGACACTGTCCCCGCCTCTCTTCTAGTTTAAACCGGTTTTTTGCTGGGTACTTATTCTCCAGGGCTAACTACATCATGTACAATTGTATATTTTCATAACAATTTCTAGCGCTTCGCGATTTTCGTTTTGTGATTTACTTGAGTGGAACGTATGCTGTTTTCTTTCTTCTATTTATTATAAAATGTTGCTAAAGAACTTTGTAATTTGAAACTGAACTATTTCACGCTAAGAAATGTAAAACTTTCATCCAACTAAATTTTTTTGAGCTTTGGAGCCAAATTCCAGTGCTCCAACAAATTTTCTTGCAGTTTTAGTTCTTGCAAGAGATTCAAATTAGAAAATCCAATGCGACATTACAATAAGAATAAAAGACAACATGCATTTAGAGCCTTTTTCGTTTGTAAATGTATAGAAACTAGGCTATTTTCCCTGATTGTCTGTGAGCATTGTCTCTTTGTATAAAACAATACAAGAAAACGTTGCGGATTTTTTCGTGGATTTTAAAAATTTCACGAAAATCGAACTTTTTTTGGAGGCCAATTTTTTTCTTCCGTTTTGACGTTTATTGCAAACAAAAAACAAAGTATATACTGATACAAAGTTTATACTTCATAATGTGTAATAACTAGACCTTTATTTTTATCTTCAATTTCATCATCATCATCCATAAACCTTCCCTGGGGTCACGCGAGGTCCCACAAAAAATTTGGGCTCCATCAGTTCAGCCGTCTGGACGTTTATTGGACAAGACACCGCAAAGTATATAAAGACTAGGATTTTAGGGCGCTTAGCTCCCATCTTTAATTTCAACTTTTAATCGTGACTTTATCTGTGAGCATCTTCTCTTTGTAATAAAACAAAAACAAAAAAGTTTGCGCATTTTTAAAATTTTACAAAAATAAAAAAATTTAACCACCAATTTTTGAAGTTATGATCATTCATAAACCTTCCCTAGGGTCACGTAAGGTCCCGCACAAATTTTCACCCGTTTTGACGTTTATTGGAAACAAACATATCAACAGACAGACAGAAAATCAAAGTATATAAAATATATATAGATGTAGATTTCCTTGATGTCTTGAATAGCGAAATCATATCCTCCCAGTCGTTGAAGACAAGTGGCTCTGGAAATACATTTTTTTTACTTCTAATAAAGTTATTGCCTTTAAAATCAATCTGTTTGTTAACTGTTGAGTTAACGATATATGCTTAACAATCAAGCGGTTAGTTAACAGATTTTTCAGAATTCAGTATCAGAATTTTTCGGAATTTTCCAATCCTTCCGTTCTTTATAGAAATATGGCCATCCCTTTATTCTATTATCTTAAGCAAGCTTTTAGATCTTAAAATTCAAATATTATATAATAAAAACCTAAATAAACAAAAAAACGTCCGATTGTTATGAGTCGACCCAGTCTTGATAATTGATGCGACTTTTCATAACAATATATGAATATGAAACTTTAAAAACAAAAAAATAAAAAAATAAAAAAAATATTAAAAATAAAGAAATTTGAAATACAAAAGTTAAAAAATAAAATTTGAAAAATAAGAAAAAAAACCTGTTAGCGTAGGCTAAAGCTAGATCTTCTGATTTGTCCGGAGCTAATACAACAGACCTTGAAAAGAGATTGTTAATGAATATAAAAATGCAAAGATTTTTTTTAATTAGCCTGTCAATTAACTCTGCTGTTGATGTTCCCGAACCCGTTTACATCTTTTAGTTGAAGAAATAAAAATTATAAAAGAATACAGCAATGTAATTGAATGAGATGGCAGAGATTTTATTGAGAACCAGAAAACTCTGGAATAAGAAGTCTACTTTTAGATTCAAGTTATTACTTTAATAAACCACTCTTCATGATGTACAGCAGTTGTGCAGTGTACACAGACCCACATAACTTAATAAGTTATTTCATAACTTCTATATAGTAAAGTTACTACTAAATCAAATGCACTTTAGTATTGCTGAAATGTCGTCTTTCTATTCTACAGTTTTCTGGTTATTCCTATAGATAATTTACTTTTATTTGATGAATTGAGATTTGAATGAAATTCTGGTAATATCAAAAGGCCACATTTTATAAATTCCAGGGCTTCGGCTATTTTGTTTAACTTGATTAAGAGTTTTACTTGTAGAGAGTGTAAAAATAAACATGGGAATCGAGAGACTACTTGAATATCGTCTTTGATTACAAATAATAGATAAATAACATAAAGTGCATCAAAAGAGATTGAAAGTCTAACGAGTTTTCCAAAATGTGCTCTACCTTCTTTGTAACTTTAAAATTGACAGAGATATTTAACATTTCAACAGTTTTGTTTATTTTCTATAAACTAGAATCTGGGCAAATATCCTAATATCTTCAATATCTCAATAATCGTCAATTTTGAAGGAAAAAACATGGTGAACCACATTTTGGAAATCCCGAGACTAGCGTAGTTTTCGGCGATAAATGTCTTAACTATGATACTACAAAATCATTACGAAGTAATCCCGCATGGAACAAAGACGATATAGAAGTCGTCATTTGATTCCCATGTTTATTGGGACACCTTGTAGATAAGGATGACGATCTTTAAGTTGTATTTTCACTGTTTCGTGGGACACACTTTCATACAAATCGTAAAACCCTTATCTCTGTGTTTATATAATTACAGCGAGGAGAACCAGAAAAATCTGAAATAGGAAGACGGCTTTTAGAATCAAGTTATAACTTAAAAAAGTCTAATGAGCATGAGACATAGCAATTGTACAGTGTAAACAAGCTGAGTTTGCTAAATTAGTGATTTATAAGTGTCTAGTAAAACTGTAACAACATAATGTCGTCTTCCTATAACCTAATTCCTATTGTTTTCTGGTGAAAAAAATGAACAAGACGATCTTTCCGATATAACATGTTCACCAACTAAATAAACGAGATATTTCTTTACCTGCTATAATTGACTAATGCGCCTGATAAGTCTCCCCCTTGAAAAGCACTATTTCCCGCCTCTCTCTACAATTATACAAGACGTTTAACAATGTCGTCTTCGAAGAAGCAAATATTTGAAAAAATAATGGATGGCATATCTTTCGACTTACGCCCCATCCGCTGTAGTCTGAGTCTGACCTACTTGCAAGTTGAAATTGGCGTTATAAGCGGCTATTTGGATATGTGGCGGTAGCAGGCCCCCAAGCCTGTCGTAGCTACAGGGCTTGACCCAGAAATTGTTTTAAACTAAACTTTAATTTTGAAATTTTTTGAATTTTTAAACTAAAATTAACAAAATATCAACAGCTGTCGTAGGTCTGATATTGAAGTAGGTTGGCAAGGAAGTAGGTCAGAAGTTCAGTAAATGGATGATATTTTATTTTTACCTGTGTTCTACTACCCTCAAGGTTTTTCTCATGCCTACAAAACATTTTATTTGATCGTGTGTCGTTATTTTTTAATCAAAAAAAAGTTATGCGGGGGATCTTGATAAACGTATAGCCAGGGATAGGGGAACATTCAGTCCCCCCCCCCCCAACATTTGTATCCAGCCAGCTTACTTTTTAAATGCATACAATAGAATGGTTAAATCCTTGTAGTGGTTCGGATTATGCAACGTTTGACCAACGTGTCTCTAGAAAACTAGTAAGGCCTGTATGAAAGTCAAAAGTACAATTCATGACCAGTTTTATACAGTGGTATATTTCAAGAGTAGCTAATTTTTGAGAAAAAAAATTTCAAAAATGTAAAAAAAATACTTTTTTTGGCAAATACTGTGACTATGAGTGTGACACATGCTTGAACTTCTTTAGTGTTTCAAAATCGTAAATTTATTATTGTTTGGTCTGAGTCATTTCAGATTCGTACGCACCACTCATTGATTTAAAATGAAATCGCTTTAACTGTAAAAAGTGACGAGTGAAGGTGGGTGAGGGAGGGGGGGGGGGCCTAGGTGGTACATTCTCTCCGACTTTTTAGGGGTAACTTATATTAAATTTTGTGTTCACTGATTTACCTGATATTGCTGATTAGCTGAAACCTTTGCTGCACAAAAGATAATTCCCAAATAAACTTGATTTTGTCCTCCCTGTTTAGTTTCAAGTTTTCCATTCGGAATTTAAACACGTATTTAAAAAGTTAATCAGCTAATAGATTTATTTAAAAAAATTATTTTTATTCATTGAGAACAATCAACTTGAAGGACTTGTAGACGTAATTGCTAGTGACTCTTCATTTCTAGAGGGATTTTTTTTATTTACAACTCACCCTTTAAATCTTTATCATATAAAGAATGAAATAACCAGGTTTATCTCTCGGAAAATTGATTTTTTTCAATAGCAGACTTTAAATGGAGGTTAACTTGAATTTACGAGAACAGTCCCTTTAAAGGCAAACATTCTTAAATCAGATCTTTTAGAAACCCATTCCTAGTTTTGAGATTTTCCCATTTTTCCTTTTCCATCGGCGACATGTTTTCCAGTAGTTGGAGCCAAAGGGCAGGGAAAAATCCCTGCCTATCAGGGGAAAACATTTTCCCCCACTGCACCGGGGTATCTGAAAAATTATAATTTTTTATAATATTACAAAAAATAACTTTTGAAAAAATTTGGATATGAAAATAATCATCTACTATTTAATATAAAATTTTTGTCCAATAAAATTACAACTTTTTTTGTCATAATTTTAAATATATCAACATTTAAAACGTCCTAAAAGTTGTTGCAACGAGAACTGACAAAATTCATTCTTTATCCATGGTTAAAAGTAGTTGGGAGAGTTCTATATCTAATTCTATTTATATATATTCTCTTCTGTTAATGGATTAATACTGTCTATACCTGCTACTGTAAATATTCTTTTATACGGACTCAAACACGTGGTGGAATATTTAGGTCAAAACCTTCACAAAACCGCGGAATATTTCAAAACCTTCACAAAACTGTGGAATATTTCAAAACCTTCACAAAACTGTGGAATATTTCAAAACCTTCACAAAAAACCGGAATATTTCGAAACCTTCACAAAACTGTGGAACATTTCGAAACCTTCACAAAACTGTGGAACATTTCGAAACCTTCACAAAACTGTGGAACATTTCGAAACCTTCACAAAACTGTGGAATATCTCAAAACCTTCACAGAACTGTGGAATATCTCAAAACCTTCACAATATCGCGTAATATTTCAAAACCTTCACAAAACTGTTGAATATTTCTAAACCTTCACAAAACTGTGGAATATTTCCAAAACCTTCACAAAACCGTGAAATATTTCAAACCCTTCACAATATCGCGCAATATTTCCAAAAACTCCACAAAACCGTGAAATATTTCGAAACCTTCACAATACCGTGACATTTTATAAACCTTCGCAAAACTGCGGAATATTTCAAAACCTTCACAACATCCTATAATGCCCAAAACCATCAAAAAACCGCGAAACGTTTCAAGACCTTAACAAAACCTTGGAATATTTCAAAACTTTCAAAAAACCCTGAAATATTTCAAAACCTTCACAATACCCTGAAATATTTGGATCAAAAACCGCGGAATATTTCAAAAGCTTCATAATACCGTAGAATATTTAGGTCAAAACCTTCTCAATACCGTGGAATATTTTCAAAAACTTTACAATACCAAGGAATATTTCACAAAACCATGGAATATTTAAAACCCTTCACAGTACCGTGGAATATTCTAAACCTTCAAAATACCTTGAAATATTTCAAAATTAGGTTAGGTTAGGTTATGTTAGGTAACCTTTACAATACAGTGAAATATTTAAAACTCTTCAAAAACCGCGTAATATTTCCAAAAACTGCACAAAACCGTGAAATATTTAAATATCTTCACAATGCCGCGGAACTTCACAAAAGAATGATGACATTTATGTGTTTATATTGTTTTAATTTTTAAATGCTTCTTAATAGATATCTAATTTACTTGTGATTATAATTCTTAAATTAATAAGAATACAGGGGTTGGACCGTCCGTAGTGATATTTTTTAGAAAACTTAAATTTGAAAATGAAATTCATTCAAGCAACACGACTGAGCTCGGATCTGATTTTGCTCAAATATTTTTTTTTGTAATTTGTATTCACCAAGTGAAATCAACTCAAAGCAGTATTTAAAAAATTTAAGTAACTTAGAAAAATATGAATTTTCAAACATTGAAATTTCAAAATCTATAGATAAGGGCATGTAGAAGCTACTATTGTGATTTTTAATCAAGAAACTGTTTAAACGTAATAAAAAATACGAATATCAAATTTCGACCCCAAATTATTTTGAAAATTATGAAATCTATATATAAACTTTGCTTGTCTGTCTGGGTGTCTACATTTATGCATCTAATAAATGTAAAAACGGCTGAACCGATCGAGGCAACTCACATGATCCCAGCTAGGAAAGGTTTATGGATGGTCGAAGTAGAAAAATTTGGCCTGGGAATAAATGTCAAAAAATATTTTTCAAAATTCACCAGTTTAAACCAAAAAATCTGCAAATATTTAGGAACGATTTAAAATTACAACTTTCAGAGTTCATATTTAAAATTATTATAAAAGGAACGAGAGCGCGAAGCTCCCTTAAAGCCAAGTAATTTATACAATACAAGAATAAGAATATGTTTCTTGTTTAGAAAAGTTTTAACTTGATTTATCTAAATATCATAATACTTGATGCATGACAATAGTGCAAAACCTGAAATAATTGTGCACTGTTCACTAGATGAGTTGCCTAAGGACTGCCTGAGTTTAAAGCCTATAGATGACATGGCATTATTAAATTTCATATTTTTGTTTCCCTTACACACCCCCCCCCCCCCCCCCGGCCCAGACATGCAAATATCAAGTCCTTCTAGACGTTTTGCAAACACAAATGTGAGACAAAAATACTTTTTTTGGTGAAAAATTGTTAATATGTCTTGTTTTTAAATCAAATGGAGGTAGGGGGCAATGCTTTCACCCCTTAATTTCTTTCAGTTTAACCCCCCCCCCCTACCCTATTTATATAAACCTAAATAATTTGAGCTACACCTCAATCTATTTAACGTGACCATGAAAGGATTCTGAATCAGACATATTTAGAAATTTAAGACGACATTTTAAAATAAAATCATATTTTTGAGGATTCTTTTCAAATAATATTTTAATGAAATGTTTTGTACTGAATCATAACAAGGGGGGGATATCTTGGCGTTTCTGAAACCCTAAACAAATGTGTGAAATGTTTAGGGTAACTGGATATTAAAAACGTTCTGTGTTATCAATCAAAAAACAATTACGTTTTATTGTTCAGGTTTAGTGTTTAAAATAAATGAAATACAGGATTTTTTGCATCTCTATAAAGTAGTTTTATTGTTTGTTTATATTTAGTTTAAAAGCAGACACTGTGTGGGGTAACCTTATCTTTCTTATCTATCTATCTATCTATCTATCTATCTATCTATCTACCTATCTATCTATCTATCTATCTATCTATCTATCTATCTATCTATCTATAATCCATTTATCTATCTATCTATCTATCTATCTATCTATCTATCTATCTATCTATCTATCTATCTATCTATCTATCTATCTATCTATCTATCTATCTATCTTTATATCTACTTGATCGATTAATTGCTATTTTCCGGTTGACAAAGCTAACAAGATCGCGCCCAGTGGTTGTGGCGTTGAAAGTTCAAGGGATTGTAGTCGTGTTGATCGTGTCCTGTTTGAGACATTGATCAATTCATGCCCTTTGATTTGGCATTGATAGTTAAGAGCTACCGATTGATATCGATAGCTAACAAGATTGTATCCATGTTTAAACATTGATAGCGAAGTAAAACTGAACTGTACCTTGATAGATACTTGTTCAAGGAATTGTTGGCGTAAAACTAAAAACTGAACACCAAACACTGAACACTAAATGCTGAACACTAAATGCTGAACACTAAACACTGAACACTAAACACTGAACACTAAACACTGAACACTAAAAACTGAACACTAAACACTGAACACTAAACACTGAACACTAAACACTGAACACTAAATGCAGAATATAATTTACTTAGAGCAACTATTGAAGGTATTGTCTAACTCACTAACTCACTATAATCTAACGATCTAGCTAACTCACTCACTATTATCTAACTATCTAACTCACTAACTCATCATTATCTAACTATCAAACTCAATATATAATGAATTTCGTGTAACACTATATCTGTAAACCTGAACTACGTTGTACATTAATAATTATCTATGTTTGTAATTAGCTACGCAAAACTTGTATTACGATTAACCCAACCTAGCTACGTCTGTAAATACTTCGTCAAATCTTTATTGTGATCAGCTTAACTACGCTTATATATATCTGTGCAAATCCTGTAAATATGTACATTAACTTAACCTTTAACATATGTATCTAAATGCACATCAGTTGGAATAGACTCTGCTTTGATTACATTGTGAGAGTATAATTACTTCTTGGTTAGCGAATGAGAAGCATCCTGAATCACTCTCTTGAAGTATAGAACTAGATTGGGAATTGATATCTTGTTTAGTATCTTGTAAGACAGATACCTGAGATAGTTTACAAGCTTGTGTCAGTGTTGACATTGATAGCTGACAAGATTGTGCCCATGTTTGGCATTGATAGTTTAGGAGTTTGTCATCATGTTGATATTGAAAGCTGACAAGATTGTGCCTGTGTTTGGCATTGATAGTTTACGAGCTTGTGTTCATGTTGGCATTGATAGTTTACGAGCTTGTGTTCGTGTTGACATTGATAGCTGAGGAGATTGTGCCCATGTTTGGCATTGACAGTTTATGAGTTTGTGCCCATGTTGACATTGATAGCTGAGGAGATTGTGCCCGTGTTTGGCATTGACAGTTTATGAGTTTGTGTCCGTGTTGACATTGATAGCTGACGAGATCATGCAAGTGTTTGGCATTGATAGTTAGGAGTTATACCTGGATTGATACGGGTCTGAGAGACTCTTATGGAATAGGGCATTTACTACAAATATAATTTTACTATCTAAATCACTATAATCTAACTGTCTAACTCACTATAATCTAAGTATAATCTAACTATCTAACTCACTATAATCTAACTATATAACTCACTTTAATCTAACTATCTAACTCACTGAGTGTGTTTAAGACAACTGATGTTCAGATTATTAGGCAAATAAACATTTTTTACAAAAAATATCTAAAATTTTCAAAATATATGTTTCGAAAATATTGTGTTCTAAAAGTATTTAATTATTTTGAATTTTGTCTTGAACTATATGTATCCCTGTTTAGGAGAAAGCAAGGGAAAATATTTTTTGAAAAGTGAAAGCAAAGTTGAATCTTACCGGTGCATTTGTATAATTGTCTATTCTATAGTTAGGATATTCATACCAGAACTAGGAAAATCATCGTATATATATAAAGTTGTAATCTCTGTTTGTCTGTTTGTCCGATCATAACTTGGGAACCCCTGGACCGATTTGCCTCAAATTTTGATTGGGGAACTCGGGAGACCCACGGGAATGTCTTAGCTTGGTTTTGAGATCCTAAGTTGACTGGGTCGACTTTAATAGCGAAACTGCGAAAATTTAGTTTCCCGGTAAAATCGTTCAAGTGCGGGTAAACGTCGGGAGTAACTTTTAGTAACCTGGGCTGCGCTGGGTTCCCAAGCTAGTTCTAAACTTTTTTAAGGCATAAACCATCAACCATTGCATCATATGGTCATATGTAAAGAGTTTTTAGTTGGCATTAAAGTCGTATTCTTAGTGGATAACCCTGTATAAAATCAAATATCGAATCCTGAAATACTCGTAAAATACTCATGCTGAATTCTATTTTAAATTCAATGCTTTCATTTATTAATATCATAAACAATAATTTATTTTATGAATTAATATAATAAACAATAATGTATTTTACTTATTAATATCATAAACAATAATTTATTTTTAGTTCATTTTGAACCAGATTTTGATTCCCCCCCCCCATCCATCAGTTCTTTACATGACTTCTAATACAAGTATTTAGATATTTCAACTAGGCCAAGCGCTGCGACCACAAATTCAAACAGCTATCATGGTTTACTTTAGTTATAATTTAAAAGACAATAATTTAGACAGATCGTCAAATTCAACCTATAAATCGTCTAATCACTAATTAAGTTTAATGGGTCTGTTTATACTGTCCAATTTCTGTGTCCCATGCTTATTGGACTATTTAAAGTCATAATTTGAACCTAAAAGTCGTCTTCTAATTTCAGAGTTTTCTGGTTATCACTGTAGAAAGTTTGAGTTTTTGACAAATACTCAATTCCTTTAAACTTGAAGTAATTTGAAAGATGTCACAAATAAATTTGAATTCTGATCTACGTTGTTTCTAAAAAATCACATTTTTTCTAAAAATCACATTGTTAGCCATGAAATATTTCCCCTCCTGTCTTTAACGGAAGAAGAGCTCCTTGCAACCTATAAAATATAAAACGTATTAACTTATTGTTTAGACTTTTGGTTGATGATTCATGCGTTTATCAAAACTTTAAAACTTAATAAATAAAACATTTAAAACAAATTAATCTTTTTAAAAAGAAAAATATGCTTGAATTTTTTCAGATAATTAATTTTAAACTTAGTTTTAAGACGTCTAAAAAACGAGACAAATGTGATTATCGCACCTACTATATTGATAATTTCTTAACGTTTTAAAAGTTTTTTTGTTCCAAAAAATATTGCGATCTGTGTATTATTATTTCAGAAGATTAATTGTCCGTTTACCTGTAAAATCTAGTTTTGTCATCAATGTTTCTAAAGACAAATATTTTTCATTATTCATAATTGTAAGGAAAAAATGATTCATTTAAAAAGTGGCATGTCTGATTCATTACGGAAACTTTTTTAGCCTGGATATAGAAAACAGAAATTTCTTTTTTTAACTAAAACATGATAATCTTTAATTGAGGCTACTCTATAATAATGACATGCAAATTCCACTTGCATTAAAGAAATATTAAGAACTTATCTCTTTTCAGGACAGAGAGATGAAATAATCAAACATAATTGTTATTCAAATAACGGTTGAAAGGATATTATTAAGCATACCGCTAAATATACGGTGGTTCAACACAAGTTTAATATAATACCTGTAAATACTTTTAGAATAAAAATCTTTACAAACATTATCCACGAGTCTATAATCCTAAAAATCAATTTAAAAATTATATATTTGTCTCGTCTTAAAGTAATCTTATAAATATCTAAATTTAGTGACTGGTTTATGTTTTTGGACTTCAAACTTTTTCACAAAAATCTCTGGGTCACGTGAGTTGTCTAACAAACTTTAAGCTTGTTCGATTGAGACGTTTTGACGTTTTGGACACAAACAGACAGACAAGCAAAGTACATATATGTATATGATAACATTTTTGCATAGTTTAAACATTTTCAGAATCCACTTTTAAATAAGTATTTTATGGTGTGTTTTTTAGGGTCCAAACATGTTTTTTAAATCGCCAATCATCAAATGAACGTCAAAACGGCTGAACCGATCTGGCTCAATTATTGATTAAAAATGCCCCTCCCACTTTTATATCATATTCGAATTTTGAATATTCACCAATTCAAAAAAAGAAAATTTGCCAGTCTTAAAATTCAAAGTTTGATTGTTTTAAAATCTAGAAAGTATACAGGCTAGCAGATAGGTCAACAACCAAAGGGTGAAATTGTTTTTTAGACAAAGAGGTGCGAAGATCTCAAGAAAGAAGCATATTTTATTATTAATAATTAATCCCACTTACACTTGTCGTATTTCCTGGATTTTCTGAAAGCCAAGAATACTCGGGGAGAAGGTTAAACTTATATTTCTCTTCAAGCCTAATATACAGATATTTTGTTTAGAAAAAAAGATATTTTACAGGGTTACCCAAAACATTAACATTAACATTAACATTGACTTTAAACAATTCATTAAAGTTTATGGTTGTCAGTATATAAAGTTAACATTAACGTTAACATTAACATTAACATTAACATTGACT